TATACCCATATATTTTGCAATCAAAATAAGACTGCCTTGGCTCGTTGTTCTAGTAGTCGTAAGCGCGATTGCTAATCATGAGGTCCCGGGTTCGAATCCCGAGTGTTATTGGGGTTTCTGTCATGAACTTCTCTATAGCAGCCTGGAGCCTGAAAGTTGACGGTGTTTTGGTGAAAACCTTGTGGTTGACCATATTTGGAAAGCACGTAAAGCCGTTGGTTCTGCGCCTGGTCCCTTTGCGATCGTGTCGGATTGACGTCCCATCGGATCATAAGGGTGAAAAAACAGAATACTTGTGCAAATACTCATGCCTTGTCCTGCACAGATGCTTAGGTTTCTTTGAGACGAGCCGGCGTGACCGAAATTAAAGAAAAATTGTACATGTAGAAAAATAAAATAAATTAGTTATTTTTAAGATATGTGGGTACGCAGTATTTTTATTATCTGATTTAAAATTTTAGAAACACACGACTTTAATGGAAGCAACTAAATCTTGGCTTTCTTTAAGTAAAAGTGAAAAAGAAATATTTATAACAAAATACAATAATATAGTTAATGAATATAAGAAAAAAATAGCAGATTCATTGAAAGATGCTCAACCATATTTAAAGAAAAAGGATTTGTTAAGGTAAGTTTACTTTTTACAAAAACAGGAGTTTGTCAATTACTAAAATACAATAAAATGTACATGTGCCAATATTGAGACAATTATAATTATTTAAACGGCAAGTGGCGGAAAGATCGTCAAAATGGAGATCTGTATTGAGAAAGAAAGGTATGCATTTTACTTCTAGTATTCAGTGAGAGCATAAGCCTCTCCTGCACAGCTCGCATGGGCTGGGGAAAATATGATAATAGTGTAATAATTATAGCGTGGTCCTTCCCCGGTTGAGCCGACCCATTCGTGCTACAACTATACTTCTAATATAGCTGCAGCATGGTAGAGTCTAGAGTCTACCATGCTGCAGCTAGACATATCCCCGCAATTATTATCATTATAAGAAAATTCCAAAATACAACTTAAACCCACGTCCAATGAACTAAGATAAAATTGTCCCTTTCAATTGTCAAAAAGCATAATTTTTATCTTTCATTTAGCCCCATGATACGGACGGGGAATATATTATGTCTACTCGTTATGTCAAACGGGGATATACTTCTCCTTTACCCCGTTGCCGTGCTTTGGCCTTTGGCATAGGAACAAGATAATTTTATCTCTTGTCAGTGGATATAATCGGGGGATAAAAATTTTGCCCCCAGCCCATGCTAGCCATCCTGAACGAGCAAACCAATTAATTTTGCAGCCATATAACTGCAGATGTTTCTAACATGCTTACATTTTCCACTTTTTAATAATTCAATGCTTTTACGAGGGGCACACTGAAATGATCGGGTATAGACATAGATTACCCCCTAAGGGGGTATTCTGTGGGTATAGAATATTTCAGATTGAGTTACAATAAAACCTTTTTTAGAATTTGAATACAGGCCTCTTAGAATCTTAATGACATTATAAATTTATTATTTTATTTTTAATTCCAATTTAAAAAATGTTTAAAAACAAAAACTATGTTGGTTTAAAGTTGACACCAAAGAGAATATAACCACTAAGTTTAAGAGGCGGGACTTCCTAAGAAAAAGTAAATGTATGAGTGTATGACATTGCGCCAAGCTACTCTACCAACATCAAGACATGACAATGAATTTTTGACAAACAGTGCTGCAACATAGGCGATTTCTAATAGTGCTGTAAATGTCTATCCTCGAATAATTCTATCGATAAAAGTTATCGGTATATTGTTTATCGATATTTTTACATAATAAAAGTTAGTTCTCTATACTGAATTATTTATGAGCAATACTTTTTTTAATCTGGGGATTGAGTAAAAATGCCGATTAGGATAACAAATCATTGTATTTTACACGCAGAAATTTGTAATTATATGTCTAGAGTTATTAGGTACATAAATATGTGTAAAGAAAATATAAAATTAAAACGCACTATTATACTAATAATTAAGTAAAACTAAATGACGACTCCGTAGCGCAGAGGCTAAGCGTTTGGCTGCGGCACTGCAGGACCGAGGCTTCGTTCCCGCACTAAACTATTGTTACTATGCTGTAAAATAAATAGTTTGTGTCTGGACGCTTGTTTTCAACGTTAGTTTTTCCAGAAGGGTATAAGATTGGGTTTGGGGTAACAAATACTATGTACAAATCGCTAGGCTTTTTCACAGAGGTACCTACGTACATACTACTCGCAGAGATCGTATACTTATTGTCGCTTTCAAAATGAGTGCTCATTATGACTAATGTTTGTAGATGAATCTATAAAAAAACTATTTATAACCAGGCAATTACCAATAACTTTGAGTTGTTTTATAATCGAATTCTTACCAATATGTGACTTTATATGGATATTATCTTTTGCTACGTGTAAATGAAACCTAATTAACATACACATAATAGTGAAAGTTTAAATTAACTCCACTGATGAAATAACAGTTCATTTTAGTTGGATTTCTAAATCCTCGGATTTGCAATGTTTGCCACAAATATGTTTTAACATGTCAATCTTTTCAATTGGTGCATGTGCCAACTGTTTCGCCCATTGCTTGCATCTGAAAAATAATATAAATAAAATCACATTTTTATTGAACAAATAGAATGCTATCAGTCACAATTGATGACGTAGTTTCTAAGTATAGTTGGTTTCGAATTGCCATCCCATCGAACTATCAGATTTAGGAAATTGTGTGTTTGTATTTGTGCACACAATCGTACACAATTAAAACCAGTCCCATGTAGATGGCTAGTCCAAAAATGTAGTCGCGTTAAACATCATATTACAATAATTAAAGTTGAATTCACCACATACCTTTCATCATCTAAGGGAAATATTGCTACGAATAGCCTTTTCTTGTTATTATTTTTTCCGCTTCTTGCACCATTTAATTGGCAAGTTTTATAATGCATACCTATTTATTTTTTTAACAATTGTGTAAATGAACAACAGTTTCTATAACAAAATTTAAAGCAATCTTAATACATAAAATATATACAAATATAATTAGTTGATTTGACATTTGAACCTATTTGATTTGACAATGTCATTAATAGACATATTACGAAAAGCGGAAAGAAGAGATAACCGTCATTAAAATTTGACCCCTGTAGTACATATAATTTTTACTATTTTACTGGTTGACACGTCTTTAACAGAAATGGAGCTCACGCGTGAACATTTCCGTGCTATAATTTATCACAATTTTCGTCGCGGCTTATCTCAAGATAAATGTCTCAGCGAACTTGTTTCGATTTATGATGTTGAAGCACCGAGTCAAACGACAATATACCGCTGGTATGCCGAGTTCCGACGCGGTCGTGTGTCGCTCAGCACTGTTTCTTCAGCAGGTCGACCAAGAACAGCGGTCACGCCTGAAAACATCGCAGCTGTGCGAACTATTATATTAGATGACCGTCATGTGACATACGAGCAGATTCGGGCTGTTATCAGTATCGGAATGACTGCAATTCAGTCGATATTACATATTGAGCTGTGTGTAAGAAAGCTAGTTCCCGCTGGGTTCCCCACAATTTGTCCGAAGAGCACAAGGCGGCTCGTGTAGATTGGTACCGGAATATTCTGCAACCCTTCAACGGAGGGAAGTCAAATGCCGTTTATAATATCGTCTCAGGTGACGAATCATGGATTTATTCATACGAACCTGAAAGAAAACATCAGTCAGCAGTTAGGGTCTTCGAAGACGAGGTTAAACCAACGAAAGTGGTTCGCTCCCGCAGCATGACAAAGAATATGGTCGCTACGTTTGTCTCGAAAAAGGGGCATGTTGCTACAATTCCTTTACAGGAACGCAGAACGGTTACCGCTGAGTGGTATATCACGGTTTGTTTGCCAGAAATGATAGCCGAACTCCGAAAAAATAACCCGAAACGTCGCATCATCTTACATCACGATAATGCGAGCTCCCATACGGCTCGGAAGACAAATGATTTTTTGAAGCAGGAAAACGTTGAGCTAATGAGCCATCCTCCGTGCAGTCCTGACCTGAGCCCAAACGATTTCTTTACATTCCATAGAATGAAAGATTTATTACGCGGTCAACGGTTTGAAGACCCCGAAGCAGCTGTGGAAGCGTACAAATCAGCCATTTTGTCAACATCAACTTCAGACTGGAATTACTGTTTTAATGATTGCTTTGCACGAATGGAAAAGTGCATTAAGTTGAACGGAGAATATTTCGAAAAACTATAAAATACAATTTAGCTATACCGTGCATGTGGTTTTTCTTAATCCCGACCATTTCAGTGTGCCCCTCGTACACTAACATTTCTTGGTAGAAAAAATTGATATAGAAAGTAAGAATTAAAAGGCCCTACGTACTTCTGATTTTAAAATATTTATTTTAGTTACTTGAAGACTTTTATTAAAAGTTTAATTTTTTGGTAATTTTGAGTGTATTAAGGAATATTATGAGCTCTGGATAAACAACCAGAATGTCGACTATATAGTATATATATAGGATAGGATATCTACTAGGGATAGAGATAGGATACCTACAGGTTTTTAATATATTACGGTTATTGCCTCTTACGACACCCACGGCACTATATGGGTATGGGTAGTTGATATTCTTATAACACCACGACTGCAGCACCATCTCTCTAATAACGACTATGAGGCCGTTCAGCACTGAACTTTAAATATACTGTAACGGTAACATTTATTGCAGTTATTTCGATACTACAGACAGACGCTTCGATATTTTTATGTATATAGCTTTAAATTACGGAGTACCTATCTGTATTCTATCTTTAAAGCAAATCCATACGATGGTTTACAACGGTAATGGTGTTCATATTACGGATTTTTATATTATACCGTTACAGCGGTAACGCTTCGCCGTCACAACATTTGCTTTTAAAGATTTTTATAAATTTACAGATACGAAAAGACAACTACTATTCATACCAAAAACCATGGTAATCAAGATAAACAGAATGAAGAAGTAAATTATAATAAAAATAATTATCAAAATACATTAGAAGATTCTAAACCGATCATTGGTGCTATAAGCACAAATGATGTATTGACGTAAGTACTTTAGTATTATAATTGTAATATTTAGGTTTTTTAAAATAATATTAATAATTTCCCGCCGAATTTCGATCACGGCGACCAGTCGCAGCCTGTGTCTCAACGGAGACTTGCCATCTGCGCAGAACAGGATTATAGTGCTAGTGCATATATGCGCAAGCACATAATATGCACTCTCTTTTCCCCATTCTCATAGTCCGGTGGTACGGCGACTGGAATCCGACAAGACCGAAGAGAGATCCGGTGCAGGACCATCGACATTACCTGTTTTGCTTCGAGGGTGAAACACCACAGTCTAACAGACATCTTACAAATCGTAAAAAAAATCCTTGACAGAAAAGGGTACCCCTCTGCGAAAACTTATAATTTTTAGGCTTTTTTTTTTAATTTTATATTAAAAATCTGGAAGTTATAGGGGGACGGGGAACTAGTGTCATTCTTCTACCAATTCTCCCCGAACCGAATAATAGGAGACTAATGCCCAATTTCACCGACATCCCCTAAACAATCACATAGTTAGACGACCGCTAAGCTAAAAGGTTCCCTAAACCAACCCATAACTAAAATTTGTTTTCACGAACGCAACGGACTTATAGCTAGGGGACCCTTCCTTATGTGACCGATTTTTTACGACGATAGTGCTTGATACCCAGTTGTAGTTACCGGTTTTATCGGAAATGATATATATTAATACAAAAAATACGTATTCATGTATTATTTTAATGAAGAAATTAGTTCTTTCATATTTTGACTGATATATGTTTTCATTTTGTTAATATTTTAATAAAAATATCATATTTTTAGTTTATGTTTGACAAGTCACCGTATTTGACACTCAGCTTTATCTGTGCATTGACTGTTTGACATTTGTCTCTGCAAGTCACAGCTGCAAGTTTTCGTGGTGTTTTCGTTTGGTATCTCGTTTCTAACTTTTTATTTTATAATTATGGCCGAAAATAAGAGAAAGTGGTGTCAAAATTTCACGTTTGATGAAAAGGATAAACTTGTAAAGTTAATGAATACTTTTAAAAATGTTATATTAAATAAAAAGACGGACGGTACAACAAATCAAGCGAAGAATGAAGCGTGGGTGAATTTGTGCACAAGATTTAATTCCACAGGAACCACGGCTAGGTAAGTTATTGATAAAAATAAACCTTTTGTTTAGTACTTGTTATAGTTGTTTTAAAGTTAAGTTGCCTTTACATCCAAACTTTATAGCTGTAAATAGTTATTGTCATAATTATTATCTTGATTTTGTATAATATGTAATGTGTGTATTAAAGAGTTTCTATTTACTTACTTGAATGAGAAGTTACCTACCTAATACCTGTATTCTCAGTACATTAACCTCTTTATCTACTATGATGAACGTACTGAATTGCCTTTTAATAACCTACCACTAACATTTCAGAAGTAAAGAATCTCTTATGAGAGTCTGGGAGAAAATGAAGACTGATGCGAAGTTATACAAAGCACTTAGCAAAAGCAGTTACAATGGCACAGGAGGTGGCCCATCGTGTGTTAAAACAGATATAATTTTGGAACAAGTCAGTGACTTGATGGGCTGAGCATGTACAGGCATAACTGATGTCCAGGATTCAGATGCTGACCAAATTACTGAAGCCAGTTCATTACCAATACTTGGTGATGAGACAATGGAAATTTTAATATTTCAAAATGAAAATGTTAGTATTTATAGAATTCTCTATTATGTAGGTATATTAAAATTAGAAACTGACTGACAAATAGTCCAAATGCCGTAGTAGAAATCAGGGCAATAAGTTTGTTACATATTATAATATTATATAAAAGTAAGTTATGTATATTATTGTGTTTGTTTAAGGAGATGCTTTCGTTCCTACCAGTGGTTCAATAGAGGGCTAGACAGAGAAACACTACGGGGCGACAACGACAAAATGAACTAAACTGGCAGAATTTTCAATACAAAATTATTTCAGTCATTTGTATAGGTGTCGACCCACTGTATGATTATATTATATTTACACTGTGATTTTTATATTAGAATTTGTTTTGTTACAATTTTAGTGCAATACAAGAAATATGGAAAATATTGAAAATAACGATGTTGGGAATAATAATGACATTGCTCCAACACTGTCATCACCAACATCGTCTCAATTTATAAAGTCCACACCTATATGGAAAAGACGACGACCAATAATTAAAGAAAATAAGGATAAAGCTGAAGTTGTTTCAACGTTATGTGGAGGTTTTAAAGATTTGAATTCTAAAAAGGCTACTGTGGAAGATTTAAAAATTAAAATGTTAGAAGAAGAAATAAAATTTAAAAGAGAATTGTACCAGCTGCAGTTAGAAACAGCTAGAAAGGAATTGGAAATTAAAACTGAAGTATGCAACCAATTAAAAGGTATGTGTTTTATTTATTGGTGAAATTACTATATATATTTTACATAATAAATTAGATATTTATAAGTTATCAAAATATTGTGTAATTTGATTTCTGCGAAATCCATATGACAAAGAAGGTCTGTCAGAAAATGCCATATTATTTATTTGTCCCCTTGCAATTAGCTCTTCCAGGTTAGGCACATCATCATTATTCACAGGCTGTTGCTCATTTCTTAATATGCATATATTATGCAAGATACAGCAAGCTATAATGACATTAATGGCATTGTTTAAAGCTAAACGAATTCCAACCGCAAGTACTGGAAACCTTCGTTTTAGCACACCATATTGCCGTTCTACCACATTTCGTGTTGGGCGTTCGTGTTCGGTATGGGCCTCATTATATTTTCGTTCTCCACTTGTTGTAGGGTTGAGATAAGGTGTCAAGAGATGAGGCTAAAACAAAAATATTTTTAAGTATTATTGTATATAATAATGTAATTTATATGATGTAAAATATTTCTTTTCTATTCCAGGTCACACCTTAAACTTTCAAAATGTATCAGGAATACCTAAAAATGGTTCTGCAAATAACTAGTTTAAGTGTACTTTTTAATTAATTAAATATCCCTTACCCATGCATAATCTTTTTATTAAATAAAAAGTATTTATTTAATCAATATTTTGAGCTCTGTGATGAATGATGTTATTCTTTTTGTTTGTAATTTTTGTAATTCTTTTTGTAACCTACTTAAATTTTAATCAATATTATATTATTATTCTCCTTATTTTTTCTTTTACCTTTAAGGGATAGCCACTATCCCCAAGTAAATGGCTGTCTTCATACTCCCCTCTTTCAAACTTTCTATAAATATAGCTATTTTGGTAAATTGCTGAGTCATGTGTAGAGCCTGGCCAGCGTGCAACAACATCCTGGACCAACAACTTTGCTGATGCAATTGTTTGGACATTTATGGACATGTAGCCTTTCCTGTTTCTAAATAGTTCAGCATCATCTCCACCTATAGATATAAATAATACTTCATCAGCATTGCTTGATAGACTACTAAGAGAAATGAACTTTTAGTGAAAGGTAGTTAAATAAAAATGAGGAATTTACCTGGTGACTGAATTTTTACATGTGTGCAATCAATACAGCCTAGTACATTAGGGAATCTAGCTATATCATAGAAGTCTATCTTAACTCTGTCTTGGTCTCTGTTTGTATCAGGAAATATAATGAATTCTCGACGTAGGGAAACAATTGCTTGAGACACTCGCTTTACTATCCGGCTGGATGTAGCCAAACTAGTACCACCCATATCAGCCACAGCAAGCAAGTGATTGCCTGTGGCATAATATCTTAAAGCTATTAATAATTGATTTATGGGTGGTATGGAATTGTTCCTGTAAAAAATATAAACAACTACAAATTAAAATAGGTAGAAACTTAAGTAAGATATACCTCGGGTATCAATTTACCATGGTAGGTAGGTTAGCACCAAACAGGTACCTACGGCTTACCTATACAGGCTCATTTTCTATTTAAAAGTTACTGTTAGGAGAGCAATAAAGTAACCTTTTATGCTTTTACCTTTATTTCGTAGCTAGGTATAATAGGTAATAAGTGAAAATGTAGGAACCCAGGAACCCACACTTTAACTTAAATATTTAATAAACTACAGTTTTAATAACATTATAGACTATTGTACATACATTAAAATTGATAACATATGTAAATAGTTAGGTACTCACCTATTATCAGGAAATTCCAAAATATGTTCAATTTTTTCCAACAAATATATCACTGTTGATTTAGATAACCTATATCTTCGGAAAAAATCTATTTCATCGAAATCGTTGAAATAATTTGGTCGTTTTCGATATATTTTAGGTCTTCGACTACGATTTATATCAAATATAGTATCAGTTGTGTCTAAATTATCAAGAAAATCAAATAGATCACGGTCCATCTTGTCCTCTAAAAGTCGCTTTTACTTATGTGAAGGTTTATGGGACCAATAATCCATCTCATAAATTTAGGGGATCGTTTAGTCAGTAACGGACCCTTTAAAAGTGGTGAAACGGAAACTATCCCCTAACTGGCCCCTAAATATGCTAAGGGGTCCCATAAATCTTACGGGTCGTTGGTGAAAGTGGGCATAAGAAATGTTTTAAAATTCTTGTTTTGACGCAAGCCGAGCGAACGGAGCCTAGCGTGCCGCGGTAACAGCACAGAGTAAGGACCAGAGGGGAAGCTTTCTAACAACGTCGAAAATCTATACCTATTCTGATAGGGTTATCACCTGATGCATGTGAAAACTTTAAGAAAAAAATAAAAATATTATATAGCATAAAATAAAATTAAGCTCGAAGTTGTTGACGAGTATGTTTACCTGGGACAAATAGTCCGACTGGGTAAGTCCAACTTCGACCGAGAGGTCAATCGACGGATTCAACTCGGCTGGGCAGCGTTCGGGAAGCTACGACACATCTTCTCGTCAGACATACCTCAAAACCTTAAAACGAAATTGTACAACCAGTGCGTGTTGCCAGTGATGACTTACGGAACTGAGACGTGGTCCTTCACTGCTGGCCGTATGAGGAAGCTCAAGGTCGCTCAGCGAGCTATGGAGAGGGCTATGCTCGGAGTTTCTCTGCGTGATAAACTTAGAAATGAGGATATCCGCAGTAGAACCAGAGTAACCGACATAGCCCAACGGATTAGTAAGCTGAAGTGGCAGTGGGCCGGCCATATAGCTCGAAGAACCGACAACCGATGGGGAAGAAAGGTTCTCGAGTGGCAGCCTCGTACCGGTAGGCGAAGTGTAGGGCGTCCCCCCACGAGATGGAGTGACGACCTGGTAAGACATGCAGGAAGTCGATGGATGCAGGTGGCTCAGGACCGTGTTTTGTGGCATTCTTTGGGGGAGGCCTATGTTCAGCAGTGGACTTGTGAAGGGCTGTAATGATGATGATGATGATAAAATAAAATGTGTAGTAATTGTAACTTAAGTTAATATAATAACAAGTCTGATAATTGTAATTAAAATTGAAACTGCATAAATTGTATATTTTGCTTATTTTCATGATTAGCTTCACATTACATATACATATCTATATTTCTATCAATATCATTTCTGAAAGACAACGTATTCATGAGTACAAAAAATCAGATGCTATTACTAATGACTGTGATGATGGTAGTGGACAGTGGCGGTGTTGTTGGTGTTGATACACCACCACCACCAATGATACTACCAGCACCACCACAATTACTGTTACTATTACCAGCACGTACAGCACCACCGTCCACCATCACCATCACCAGCACTACTACCACTAACACTAACTGCACCACTGTCTGGCTATTGTATTATTTTCTCTCGAATTTTTCGTAGATACTGTACAACTTTAAACTATAAATCTGTAATGTTTTATTTATAGTACACAATCTCTAAACTTAACTCTAATTGTAAAAAAAAATAATAGATTTATTGATCTATAAAATCACGAAATATTATTTGTCTATTTATTTCAATGCGCGTGACCAACAGCCCTTTCATTCACACTCTGACTGAGCCGGCGCAAACCAGTTTGTACCCCGACAGAGCGTCGGCGAACCTGTCGATGAGAGCTCACGCACACATCGCTGCGCTATGTGTGGGTGTACCTGCAGCGAGACGTTTGTATGTAGCTTCCCCTCTGGTCGGTTTCTTTACTCATGTGGTAACAGCCAGCAAAGTTGTGGTCAACGCACCTAAGTTTAACAAAAAGCGAACTTAATGATCTCAAGTTATTTATGCGCTTGTTTGATATACGATAGTATCAAATGTTCCTCACAATAACCAAGTACAAACGTATTACAATACATTTTTTTATAGCTTATGAGTAAGAAAAAAAACATTTGATTTAGAAGAATTGTAAAAAAATCTTTATACTGTAGCGTAAATAACTTTAAATAAATTGACGGAGTAACCTCAAAGACTTTTAGATATAATATACCTACTACTAGATGGGCTCTGCATCATTAATACATTGCGCACTGTGGTACGGTCAATTCTCCTTAACTCCTTTAGTCGACTGCGAGCGGGCGAGAAGACTAATTCTTTGTTTTGGTAAACCGCGAACGTTGTTTTCGACAATTTAACACTGATTTTGTTAAATGTAATGAGAAAATGCGGTCATTATTTATGTGCGCACTATGTCGACGCGATTTGAAGCTTATTATCGATAAGTGTGAAGTTACTTTATTTCGTATTTGCCTTAAAAAAGTAACAGTCGCAAATAAAAATACAACTGCATGGCATAGCTATCGTAACAACTACCACCCGACCACCCTTGCTTAATGGCCTTGGCCTATACCACAAAATAAATAATAGTACTACGTACAAAAGTTGCAGTCTTTTAATGTTGACTGCTTGCCGACGTTTTAATAGCCTACATAATTATTATTAATCAGATAAATCGCGCACGCAAGCTAATTAAAACTATCGCTGCGCGTGAGTGTTCGTATTACTTTGCATCTTTTCTCCTTACTACGTCACAAGGGACTTTCCGTGGTTGCTAAAGGCTAATAAAGGTTAATAAAGAGTAAAAAAATACATTGTGAAATGGTAAGTTACTTAGGTAAAGTACATGTACTACAATCGACCATATTATCTACTATGTGAGTTCTGTGGTGCCCAAAGCATGCAACTTGCAACGCCATTCGTCGGGAATCGCGATGCTTGGTTCGTATAGGTAGATAGCGTAAACAACAAATAAAGCCGAAATACGATTCCTAACAGAAATATGATCGTTGCCTACTTAGTTGAAAATGAACAAAGTTTTAATTTCAGTATTTTGTGCTATTATAACTTAAAATATTTTAATTACAAAGACGAGTATAGGTATGTAAGTAGGTACTTGGGTAGTGAAGTACATTTCAACTAAGTTTTGTAATAAAGTACTTAGGTATTACTTTCTGTGGTTAAATTATTTACGTAAACAGCGTAAAAAAAACTTTAACACTCAATCGTATAGAGCGCGCTAGACCCGACTGCGATCTACCCCTGGGGCAGCTCGCGATTGTAGGTAATTATTTCACGCAGGTAGCAAGAGTGACAGAGGCCTGGCCTTACTTCAATTAGCGCACTTTATGACGTCATATGGAGGTGAAATAATGTCAATAATCTTACCAGGTGTCGCTAGTTGGGACTAAGGTGAACTTATTTGTTACGCAGATTGGCACACAGTGTCATTATTCAAAATTTGCGATAATTATAAAATTTTCCGTTTTCTTGTGCATGAATATGTACAAAACAATGCCTTAGTACTGTATTCTTTAATTATTTACACATTTATAGCTACTTTTAGGAATATCCGTAGTTTAAATGCCCTCCTTATCAAATTCATATAAAATATTTCAGAAAGAAACATTAATTCTACATTAACTACACTTTTCTAACCAAATTAACTTCCCCCGCTATGAAATCTGTCAAATATTTATTTATAAATATTTACGTGGCTGAAATTAGGTACTTTTTATTATGTACGTCAAACCAAATAACAGCCGGACGGCAAAGACGTATTAAAAAGATAGACAGGGTACACACTAACATTATTGTATTTTAAAGTGGCGCAGGTAGTACTATATCAACGTACAGTTATTTATTATGACACGTTGCGCTAACAAAAAGAGACAAATGTTAGGGCATACCTATCGTTAGAAAAGATGAATATACATCATTATAGTACGGCCTCTGAGTTATTACCGATTTGACAGATTATTCTTAAATTAATCGATATAACCTTGCACGAGCGACACATTTGCCGAATGATTTAGAATACCTCTTTAATATAAAACTTTATGTCAAAATGTCAGAATCAAGTAATTTTCCAATTAACTCTGTTTCAAAACTTAAAATAGTTTGTAAATAATATGAAAACATTTATTTTTTGTTCTTTGGCGCGCTTGTACAAAGTTACATCGTGCGTCTAGTTTTCATAGTGATGTGCTTGATAGTATTCGGTCCGAATTCATTGGAATAGATATGATATTTATTTTATATGGATATTTTTATTTTACTTATTCCTTCGAGCAACTAGACTATAATGCTACCATTTTTTTGCGTCTCCTAATTGCACTGTGTTGCCAGTATCTCTATGATTTTTAAGATTTATGTGTGATCCAAAGACAGAAATACTGTTTTCTATGATTTAAAAATAAATACAATTAAAATGATTATGTATAATTTTTAACATTCATAATATATAAAACAACATTTAATAAATATAATTTTCTCCCTCAATTAAGCAATGTTATAGGTGTTTTTTTTTAAGTAATTGGCGATACTATGCTGGCAACACCCTTACCACCGCTATTTTAATCTGTTTAGTCGTCTTCCTTACTCTCATGCGCACAGACTACGTTCTCTTGTGTAACCGTTGTTTTTTGACTCGGCTTTCTCCTGTTTATCGTTGCGCTTTATTGGACTAATTTTGTTTGTGTTTGGTAATTTTGTTGAAAATGCCGAAACGAGGAAAAACATTGAATAGTCAATGTCGTGAGCTTGTACTAAAGCTACAGGATTACTTTGAGCGTGAGTCACAAAATGGCGGCCCTTTGATTCCTGTCACTCAAGTGAAAGATCGGGTTTCACAAGCTCTTGGAATTGGTGCAAAAACACTATATAATATAAATAAAGAAAAATTTGGTGCTTCTGGAAGTGAAGATAATGTTTTACGCACTCCTAAGAAAAAACGAAGACAAAAGCCCGTGACAGGTGTTGATGTTTTTGATGCAGATGCAATAAGAAACCACATATATGGTTATTATACTAGGAACGAGTTTCCAACTAGACGTTTGCTTTTGGTCTCTTTAAAAGAAGCTGGCTTGTTTAAAGGCGGTAAAACGGCGTTGTCAAAACTATTGCACGAAATTGGGTTTGAATATAAAAAAACGAATAAAAGGAAAATATTAATGGAAAGATTTGATTTAATAATTAAAAGGAGCGAGTTTTTAAGAGAAGCCAGAAAAATCGAGTCTTGGGACAACGTCGTTTTTGTTGACGAAACATGGTTAAATGCGAACCACACTGTGTCACGCTCTTGGACTGACGAAACAAACAACATCAACCTCAAAGGTTCCAATTGGAAAAGGATCGCGACTGATAATTTGTCACGCCGGTTCTGCTGGAAGTGGTTTCTTTGAAAATGGACTGCTGGCTTTGGCGTCAAAAAGTACTTCCGATTACCACGAGGAGATGGATACAGACACTTTTTCAACAGTGGTAGAGCCCCGCGGCAGCTTTTGCTGTCGCACGGATGGGCCGGCTCGAACCGGGGTAGTACTACGACCTCACAGAAAACCAGCGTGAAGTAGAGGTTTACCTCTGCGTTTCGCTTGGTGAGTGCAGGTGGCCGGAGGCCCTTTTTACTGGAAATGAGGCATTCCATCTTAGTCCTCACGGGTGACAACGCATCTACATTTTGATTTGTAACAGAGGATAGATGTAGATGTCTATGGGCCGCAGCAACCACTTACCATCAGGTGGACTGTGTGCTCGTTTGTCACCCTCATCCTATTAAAAAAAAAAAACTTTTACGAATTGGTTCGAAAATCAATTATTACCCAGCCTGCCAGAGCCTTCTATCATAATAATGGACAACGCTTCATATCACTCGAAACAAGTGAATAAAGCGCCTACTCAGGCCGACAAGAAAGCTGATCTCGTAGCATGGCTACACTAAAATGGAATTGAAACTACTGCCGAAATGCTAAAGTCTGACTTAGTAAAGTTGGTACGCGAAAATAAAACATCAAGAGTCCGTTATGAAGTAGATGAGATAGCTCTAGCACATGGACATCGGGTACTTCGAATTCCGCCTTATCACTGCCACTACAATGCCATTGAGCTAATATGGGCACAAATCAAAGGTATTGTTTTTTATCGCATAAGTTATGAATATGAATAATTTGTACTATTATAACATCCAATATTCAGCATATAAGTAAAAAGATACATAACTAAGAAATAAATATCTCATGTCCCTTACATGTAGGTAATTGTGTAACATTTCGTTTATTTAATGTAATAAATTAACGTTATTTAATGTTTACATTACAGGTTACGCAGCTCGTAATAATACGACTCCGCCATTCAGTACTAATAATATGATATTAAAAGATGCTTGCAGCAAAATAACGAAAGAAGATTGGGTCAAGGTCGTCGAAAAGACTCGAAAACTAATAACAGAAGATTATGAACGCGATATAAGAGTGGACACCATTATAGAGAATGAAATTGTCATACAAGTGACTGATAGCGATGACAGCTCTGGCGAATCTGGTTCAGAGTCTGAATAATTGTTTTAATAAATGATAGGTAGTCATTTATTAAAACATCTTGTACCTACTCTATTCATTAAAATGTGTAACGGTGTTTACAAATTTGTTTTATTTTGATATGTCCTCGACCAATTATCTACGCCCATCAAGGATACTCCACCTAATAAAGAACCTGTCTCTTTAACTATTATTGTTTTGATTTTATTTAATTACACACTATACTAGAATATTTAAAAACAAACTGTTCCCAAATGATATTAGGGTTACTGGTTCAGTCACTTCACTAGTATTGTCAATTCGTCATGTGTCAAATCGGTAATAACTCAGCGGCCGGACTATAGTTGCGTATTGATTGCTGCCGAACGCTCATTAGCGCGAGTGCGTGACATACCGATATAGAAAATGAACACACTAGCTAGCGTCAAAGTTTGCACTAGCGGTTAGTGTTAAAATAATAAAACCAATTATGAACAAAACATCTATATTCAAAATATTAATGAGACGTTTTTCTTGTCTCTAACAGTTGCCGTGTAATTTGTGCACCACCTAAAAACACAGGAAGGCATTTTTGCCACGAATAACTAGAACATTTACGCGCTGTAGCGTAGATATAGCCGCAACGCGAGAGCGTGCCCGACTGAATGCGAATCGGACAATTACCTGACTTTCGTATTGCCATTTTAGGGCGAGTATGACATATAATGCCGCCTCCACACGCTTGGTGTTTGCCACAAACACCATTCACGAACAAACACTGACCACATTCACCCTACACAAACACGGCATCCACACGCTTGGCGAACGTGCTAGTATATTCCAGATAGGCAAACATGACGGATGACGAGCTTGTGGCAGCGATTAATTTCGGGTTGACCTATTTTTATTTAAAAATAAGGCAATATAAATTGCTCTCAAGGTTATTGTATTAAATAATTTATTTACCATAGAATCTCAAATGAATTGTTAATTATCACTGCTATAAATTGTCTTCAGGTTGAAATAAGTTTGCATAGCTGATTATTTTTTTCGTAACTTTTATTCGTATTGCATAGCTGATTATTATGTAACACGTTACTCTAAATTAATCTAAAAACAAACTTTTATGAAATTAATGCTTGACTGGGTAATCGAACCCCGAACTTTCGTTTGACATTATATTGAATCTATTTACTTTTAACATAGATTATCTCTTTATTCGAAGCGCCTTATCGACTTTAATAGCAATATTTTCAAAACGCACAATTGTTTATTTTTTATGGAATGAAAATGATATACTATTTTAAAGCGCTTCGCCAAAACTAATAGTAGTAATGCATATGCGCCGTTTTCTTCATAAAATGTTTATTTTTAACAGCTTACAATAACATTACAAAGTTATTAATGCAGCTAGTTTTAGGTTTTTTCTATGAAAATGTAAATAATTTTTTACTAATCCAAGTGTATTTTATAAGTTGGTCAACTATATTACTCGTTAACTTCTTGATTCTACTTAGATGTGATAGTTTTCCTTTTAACTTCATTATATAAACTACTATTGGGTATACTTTTCACATTTCGATAAACATCGGTTAAGTTGGTAGAGAGGGGGGGGGGACATAACTCTAATGAAAAATACCACTTTAAAGCTAAATATTTCACAAACGGACCTCTGAATCGAAAAGATATTGTTGAACACCCCCAATGTTTTTGAAAGACCTATCCAACGATACCCCACATCATAGAATAGACACGTAAAAAAATGATCCTCCATTTACTTGTATGGGAAGTACCCAAAATAAAAATGTTTTAAGATATTATTTCACAGTTTTCTAGGCGTGATTAATTATTTATTATAGCAAAACCGCGGAGGGACATGACGAAACTATAAGGGTTCCTTGTTGTGTAACTACGAAAGTCTAAAAACTATTAAATCAAGATATACTAAACTTATCGATACACAGGATATACTAATCTTATATAATTTTTTCGGATTTTGTTTTGGGAATTAATGATCAATGATCCTGCCTTCAGACGGGGCTCCTTATAAAAAGAGGTGAAATATTTGTTACCCAATAGTCTAATAAAATAAATCTAATAGGTCTCTAGAAAACTTAAAAAATTATAGGTGGTAGATCTACTAACTTTTCGAAGTAGAATTGTTAGGAAACTCAACTTCTGAAATCATATTTACCTGCGCGACAAATTTCGGATTAGTAACATTGGCGTAGAGTATAATAATAATAGCCACTAGTAACTCCTTCCGCCGCCCGCAAGCCGCAAGCTCGCGCGTACTACTGACTGATCGCCAAACGTGTGGATACATCGCAAACACATTTATCGAACACCCTTTGATCGGTGCATAAAAACCGACACCAACGCCGATCACTAGCAATCACATACAAACAAACAAACAGGCGAACAACCATCCACACGTTCGTGATTGCTGTTTGGTGTTTGCTGTTCGCCATTGTTTGCCAAGCGTGTGGATGAGGCATAAACATCTTAGCCGGGCGGCTGATATTATGCACTCCATACATTTCGTATATTTAATTACAGCCCCATTAATTTACACTAAAAGAAAATAAATAACTTGTAAATTTAAACAAAAATAACTGCATTATTATGTCTATAGTCATATTCATACAAATCAAAAAGCCAATATATGAGATAATGCAAGCATAATTTTACCGGGATCATAACTAGTCATAAAATTAGGAAAATGAGCGTTTTTCGTCGCGTACATACGTGTTTTAATTTAAAACTGTGAGGTAATATTTGAAATATACTTTCCTCTAGTTACGAAGAATTTTTTAGGTGACAATATTTGTAGTTAAGATTACTAGAAATCTTATTTACGAAGTAACAAAGGCGAAATGGCAGGAATTAGGGGCATGGCTGGTATTAAGGGCATCCACCCTACTATATCAAAACGGGCGCAGCATTAGAACGTTTACATTGCAACATGCTATTAATTATACATATATATACTAAAAATACAAAATAATTAGTAAATTTTATAATTTACTAAGTAATTTGTATTTTATTACATCACTACATAATACAGATACATCAATCAAAACAATTTACTTTTCCAGATCGGACTTAAGTTTTGCAGAATCTCAAGAAAATGAACTCCCCGAAAATAATTCTTTTGGACCGGAATATCTTCCTGAACCTATCCCACCGCGATTTACGTAAGCAAACTTTTAGAAATAAAATACCTACTGTTACATTTAATTTAAATAAATATGTATTAAGCTTCCACCGTAATACGTGTCACAAAAAGCTTTGCAAGATGTTAGAAACAACTATTTTTGGTAATGATTTTAATATGCAAAGACCATTATATTCCTTTCTATTTTTTTTTTCAATATTTATGTCTTTGATTAACTTTTTTAGCAAATGCATTGAACGTGAAATTTAGTGTACCGAAGCAAACATTGTGTAAATAGAAGTAATTTCACCGCATTCGATGTAATGCTTGGATAAAGATATGATTTTATCCAGAAAGCGAGTAAAAGACCTAAAGCAGTCTGCTCTATGCCCTCAATAACCGGTCGTTCTTATGACGATAAACATAAGACGAAAAGCATGTATTCCGTACACTGCGAGAGTTCCCGATGACGTTATGAGAAAGGTAGATGATTTAAAAAGGGTTTCGCCTCAAAGAGCATATGTTTGCCATCCAATCACTTGTTTTACGGATGTGAACGGTAACGGTTACAGAACCCAATGCCGGCTAAGAGAAGTTGACGGAGAAAGTTATGGTTTCCATGCTGACTGTGCGTTCTTTCAGGCATACAATACTTATACCGCACCTGTAATAGTACCGATCGGCAAAAATTGTTCATCACTAAAAGTATTTGTGTTGTAGTAGTGAACACGATGAACGCGGGCAACAATACGTAGTACTATTATTTATTCTGTGGCAATAGGCAGACGTATCTACGCCATTCATCTGAATAAAGCTTTGGAATTGGGTTCAACAAGAGGGCAATACATTTTAAGTGTGTGAGCAGTTGACGCCGTTTAAATGCAAACAAGAAAACATGCGACGTAGAAGGACATAACGCCCCGCGTCACGCGCCGGAAAGAAAGTGTGAAGTGTTAGAAATTTGTAAATATCCTCTTAAGAGGATATCTAGTCGGCGTTTATTCTATACAAACATAATAATGATCAAGAATAAAGACACCATGTTCATGTTTTGTTATTTTCCATAAGTTATTAATTTTAAAAACTGGGAACCTAAAATTACCGAAAAATCAGATCAGAATCAGATATCCAGCAAACAAATTTTACAAACATTAAAATAAAAGAAAAACACAAAGGCAATCGTCAATCAATGTTGTTTTTAAAAAAGAAGTTGAAATCAGTCCAGTTGAGGCGGAACGGAAGTAGAGTCACGCTGCAGCTATATTATTGATGTAGCATGAATGGGACGACTCTACCGGGGAAGGACCACGCTCTCACAGTACCGGCTTTGGTGTTTATTTTTCTTTGTCGTACGTGTGTTTTGCTTAATTTTATAGTCTCCTAAGTAGTTTAAAAATATCACTGTTCACGAATGAATATTTGAGCTCTTCATGTGTTAGAGCACAAAGTAATCAGAACTTGAGGTATAATATTATAGCACTTGACACTCCAACACAACTATGTAACTGTAGTATCCACCTGTAGCGCTTTACTGGGATATTTGATTGTTCATTGTACAACTAATCATCATCATCATCATCATCATCAATATTACAGCCTAAGTCCACAGCTGAATGAATATACTTTATTTTTATTTTTGATACGTGAACCCACTTACCCATCCACTATTATAGATCTGAAGTTTTTTTTTTATTTTTATATTTAAGTTCTACTCAGACACGGGTTAAAGCTAGTTACTAATAAAACAAAATCTTTCAGATCAGGCAAAGAGCTATATGAAATGCTGATGCTGAGGACAAAGGAGGAAACCGTGAATTGGAGCTCTTTATCAGTGGCAGAGAAGAGGCGCTATCAGAATGCTATCCTGTGTATAAAAAGAAATTATATAAAGTCATATAGATCTTTTTTGGAAAGCTTAACACCTGAAGAACTGTTTAATTATTATGTTAAAAATAAACACGAGGAATAAGAATTGGTTCATTTAATTTTAATATTAAGTTATCAAGAAGAGTTCAATGCCAGTGGCATTTTTTAACGCAATCACTACGCAGATAGCAACATTTCCGCCTCTTTTATTTACCAGCGCGGTTGTTATGGAGTAAAATATATCCTGGAAGACTATAAGACGTGGACAGAAATTCTAGCTTAAGCCAGCCTTCCGATATCAGTATAGCGTGAACTGCACTACAAGAGAAAATATTGAAGTATACTTTAAAACAATTTAATAATAAATTTAAAATTCGAAATACGCAGAAAAAATATAACTTATCATAATGGCGCCTCGCCTCTGAGTTAAAATTTACAGCCTATGCTGGGCACATGCCTCCTCTCATTTCAGAAAGGGTTTTAGGGCAAGGAAATGTCCGCCACGCTGCCCCAATGCGTGTTGGCGAACTTCACACGTCTCCGAAATATTTTTTTCTTATTTCCTCAGGATGTTTTCCTTCATCGCTAAGCACGTGGTAAATCAGCACTTAAAATTACAATTAACATGGTAATTATGGGGCAAGGACGGGTTATGTCGGACTTGCACTGATTAAAACTCCATGGTGTTCCACCTTCGCCGTATATTGGCAGGGCCACTTGAACACATTCGCGGCCCCACCAGCACCGGCCGCCCCATCGCAGCACTTTCTTGGAAAAGAACTTCTTCTCCCCTTCTCCTTCCCAGGTAAGGCGCACCACACTAGGCGCGCTTATCTCCGCGGTCTTCTCGCCTGCAAGGGAAGGGGGAGAGGATACCCCCTCTCGCTGCAACCCACCAACAAACATCCGAAGCGGACTCGCCAACCCCACCCGGAGTAGTCATCTCGGGCCAGCCATGTGGGTTTCTCCTAGTTTACCATGGGTGACCACGACAGAGATTGCTACTAAGCCCCCCCCCCCTCCACGACAAGACGGAAACCCGTTAGAATAGAATAGAATAGAATAATTTTTATTCAATATAGATTATAGTACATAATACTTATTGAGTCATTTTTTACTTTTGCCACTGGTTCCATTATTATCAGTCATGTACTCTTTAGTAGTATAATAACCCTTACTAGACGATTTTTGCTTAATAAATAATTTAAATCTTTTGATAGAAAAGGTCTGCATATTTTCTGGGACTTTGTTGAGAAAGCGTATATATTGCCCCATGAAGGAATTACTGTTTGGAGTCTAGTAACTGGTATAACTTGTGTTTGTTCCTAGTATTTACAGAATGTAAATCACTATTAGAAAACTAAGTTGGCTTTTTAAACAGTTGAGATATGTAGCTTCTGACAAACTAACATAAATAAAATATAAAAGGATATTAGTCGTAATTACTTAAGAAGTAAATTCTGCTTTTGCAAGGCGTCAATATGCAGCTCAAGTTAAAATCTTATACAATAGAATAAACAAAATAATAGATATCTATCAAAATACATCCGTACACTGTAAAAAGAAATTAATTATTTGACTTAAAACCTTAAATTATGAAGAAATTGAGGATTTATTATATTATTTGATAAAGAGTGTAAATACACACAAACACACACACACACACACACACACACATACATAAAGGCGCGCGCGCGAAACGAAAACTTTATAACAAATTATTTATTATTAAGATTATTTATTTCATTATTTAAGAAGTAATAAATTATTGGTAATAAGCTTATAATATAATGCGTGTGGCCTTGTGGCACAAGTATTTTAAATACTTAAAAGGAGGTCTCAACTATAACACTGTATCAATTTAGAATTTACTTATTATTCAATAAATATTATTATTACTACTATTTTTAATAAAACTGTTTTTGTTTTTGTGTACATACAATAAGTTCTCGTAAATATATTGAGAGGCCAAAGTTAATATATTTATTTCTTTAAATTTTTCTCTAAGGGATTCCTTCAGACCTAGGTTATAAATTGCTCTTATGGCTCTGTTTTGCAAAACAAAGATAGTTTATCAGTCGCATTACACCATAGCAAGATTCCATATGACATTATGCTATGGAAATAACTAAAATAAACTAATCTAGCTGTTTCAACACATGTAAGGCATCTAATCTTTTATACAGCATATGCTGCAGAACTAAGTTTGCTAGCTAGTTTGGATATATGAGGGCCCCATTTTGAAGCTTCGCATCAACTATAATACCGAGAAAAACAGTGGATTCAATAAGACCCAGCTCCTCCCCACTTAAAAGCATACTGGTATTCACCTTTTTGACATTAGGTGTAGTGAATTTAATACATTTCGTTTTATTACCATTCAAAACCAAATTATTGTCGTTAAACCAATAACTTTTGATATAGCATTATGTGTGATGTATTTATTTTTTACTTTTGATATAGGAATCCTGAATCGGGATTCCGTGCATACATCACACCCATACGTTTTTTTTCCGTTCGGAATAACGGATCAGTCAAGAGACGTTAGCCATTGAGTCCAGATATTCTGCCAGCGAAAAATTACGATTTTCTAATTGCGATTCCATTGTTGCTGTATTATTCTTACTGGGTGCATCCCCTTATCACCCTAAGCTTGCAATATAGTCAATATTATGTAAAAAGATTATCTATCCAGAGATATTTTTTAAATATGGATGTCTGTAAATGCTTTTGACAAATTATTAAATAAAATAAGATGAAAGGTTACGAAAAGCTATACACCTATAAGATTAAATGTAAAAACATACATAAACACACCTACTCGCTTCGGTCATACGACGAACACTGACCACATTTTATACGGAATTTACTTGTGTGTTGCGACTCATAGAAAATCTATGGAAGACTTGCGTTCGGAGCGGCTTTTTTCCATTCGGGATTCCAAATGCACGTCTATGGTAGTGACAAAAAAATTACATCCATAGATAAATGTTAAAGTTCTAGGGTAACATTATCTTTAACTAAACATATTCTATGTATGTATAATTCCAACTAACCTAATAATTACTCTACCAAATTTTTTAATAAATAAAAATTTCATTGCATTTCACTTTTTATTTCAGTTTATTTTGAATTGTTTGACACTATGCCTACAGTTTTGATTTCCATATCTACTTATACTTTTGTTAAAAATACATCTAATGGGGCTGCATAAAATGTTGTGTAATAACTAGTGTAGCTATGCTATGCTATTATGATTTGTTAATAATGGTACTAATGCTAGAGATTAGTAATGCCACTAAATAGTTATAAGATAAAAATACAACATTATATTACTATAATTAGATGCTTAACTATACTGGAAATTAAATAGAATTTTTAACTTTTAATAGGTATTTCTTATGGTTCTAAAGTGATGATCAAAAACCTAAAATGTTACGTGGACTTTATTATTTTCCACAAATAAGTCCAACAGCCATTCCAGCTACAAAGGATGCTAAGAATACATGAGTTTCAGTTGCTTTATAATGATCATCTCCAGTAAAATTGTTGAACCATCTCTTTGCCTTTTTTTCTTTTTTCTTTATCAAGTCTTCAGCCTTGTCAATTTTACGATCCACAAATCTTCCTACCTGAAATTATAAGACTTCAATTTAATAGTTATCCCAAAATAGTTGCTGGGAACACCAATAAATTACTTATTATTTTGTTACACTAAGACCATGCAATTTACTATCTAGGGATTCATCATGACTTACTACCAGGTAGGACTGAATTCAAACAATAGATAATAATGAAATTCAAACAATAGATAATAATGAAAGTAAAAAAAAATTACCAACATACATTTACTGTACCGTAGTAAACCCAGTTTGTAGTAAATTAAATGCACAGTAGCAAAGGAAATCATTGCATTGTATTTTGCAGTGAAAACTAAACAATATATAATTTAGATTATGCATTGTCAACTTGACCAGTTAGGTAAATAAAATTAACAAACTCACTTATGTTAATTTAATTAAATTTTGAAATTTATGAAGATGCAATTCCAAAAAAGAATCCGCCGGTAAACCCTGCTGAATAATAGGAATTTTGTTTAACAAATGATAACACCTGCAACAAAAAGAAAATACTTTGGCAAAACAAAAAATTATTTTACCTCAACAATTTTTAGAAAAATTTGGACCTAAAACCGGTCAAGTTTAAACAACTAGTATTATTGTTTATTAACACAGTGATTCCCTTTACACTATTCAAAATAAAGGATAAATTTGAATTAGATGTTTCTATTTATATAATGGAATGTAGTCACTAAGAACTTCAACTTACTTTTTCAATCCAATCAGGAGATTTTCCAGTTGCTTCCTTTTCTACTTTGTCGCTGATTTTATCAACTTTTTTATTGATTTTGTCCCAATTAATGTCGATGTATCCTTTTTGGCTTGCAATATGCAGTAAAATAACTCCTCCACCTATTCCGGCAGCAGCAAATTTACCGATTTTCATAGTCAAAAAACCAGTTATCCTGAAAATGTATACATAATAAAGTAAGATGATATACTCACGACTAATAAAAAATTATTACAAAAACATACCATCCTGATGCAGTTCCTAAAATAAGTTGCTTCGTTGCAGATGTTTTTCCAATGTCTCCAATAGCTTTTTCAATGAAATTTTTGGCATCATCTACAATTTTTTTCGCTTCTTCAGATGCATCATCTGTTTTTGGTTTAGCCATTGTATTTTTTTTTTTTATGTAAGCGCGTTAATACTTATCACCAATTACAAACTAAGTAATATTTTTTAAACACTTGCAAACCTGAAAAGATATTCCTAGATAGGTGACAGATACGTCTTTGTATTTGTATGAGTGTATGAGTCACAGGTATATAAACAGTACTCTGTGAGTCACAGACACAGACCAACTGACCAACTTAGGGATATTCGATATACATCGATGCATCGAATTCACTCGATGTTTACAATACGATGCATCGAATCGATTCAATGATTTGGAAAGTTATTGATAAACTCGATGTATCGATGTATTTTCATAAAACATCGAATCAATGATAACCAGTCAATTGTAAAAAGGTATACTTACATATCACTATTAATATTATAACTTCTAAATCAGAAAAACTAAAACGTGTCCTGATTTAGAAGTTATAATATTAAACCTGCTGCTGTCTGTCTGTCTGCCTTGGTCTTAAGGAGGCTACTCATTTGCGTGCCGCAGGGGCAATTTTGACCGAAAAGCGATCGGGGCGATATCAGAACTGTCTCTACACACACGCCTGCCATTCTATGGGAGAGTGTACGTCTCACTGGACACACGCATTGAAAATGGTGCCAGTTTTATCAAAATATAAATACGTTTATTTCGGTAATTTTGTTAACAACATAATACTGAGACTTCCCGGTGAGTAATCAGAGGATACGCGTGTTGGGAATGACCCGCTACTTCAAATGAATGAAGAAAAAAAAATAGTAAATAATAATCATAAAATAAACTTCAAATGAATCTGTAAATATAGCCTTGGCTCTTTTTTTTATATAGAATAAGGGTGACAAATGAGCACAGTCCACCTGATGTTAAGTGGATACTGTGGCCCATAGACACCCATATTTATTGATAAAACAAGTAATTAATTAATAATTACACCCGCAACACAGTCCTTAAAAGCTGTAGCATGACTCTACCAAGTTTAGAAACGTTACGACGTTCAAATAACGTTCTTTCTGCGGTGCTACCACAAAAAAAGACAAAAAGAAGATACTGGGTGAAGAAGCTGCTCTTTATACACTTATCATCAGTGTCCGAATTTCATATTTTTTATTAGTATCCATTGTGACATGTGCTGCGCGCGAAAGTCGCTAACGAACTGATTGAAATTGCCTTAATTGCGCTACACACGTGGAAGCGGTAGCTGTGATCTAAGGAGCAAGGAAGGTCTTGCGCTCATGTCGCTCTGCCGCAGGGCCGTCTTAGAAAATTGCCCCTGCTTTCATACACACATCGCAATTAAGGAGGCAATTAAGGGTCATTCCCACTCCTACACCCTAGATTGCCCCTGCAGCAGGCAAGTGAGCAGCCGCCTTTAGACCATTTAACCCAGTGGACTCCTCTGGCGTAATTATTCCCCTCTGCCAAGGTATTGGATTTAAAAGCTTGTGCGTTTATAAAAACTGTTTACGAAATCGATTTTATCATTACAAGAATCGTTTCCGCCGAAATAGGTGCTCTTTAAAAAATGCCGATCGGTGCGGTTAACGTGTTTTTTTTTATAGGATAAGGGTGACAAACGAGCACACAGTCCACCTGATGGTAAGTGGTTGCTGTGGCCCATAGACATCTACATTTATCCTCGATGAGGAATCAAAATGCAGATGCGTTGTCACCCGTGAGGACTAAGATGGAATGCCTCGTTTCCAGTAAAAAGGGTCTCCCGTTCTCTACACTCACCATACGAAACACAGCAGAATTAAGCTGCTATTTTACGCTGGTATTCTGTGAGAGCGTGGTCCTTCCCCGGTCGAGCCGACCCATTCATAATACAACTATACCAGAAATATAGCTGCAGCATGGCTCTACCACGTGTGCATAAAGCAGTCAAAATACTTTACAAAAAGATGGAGTTATATTCCATATGTAAGTATTTTTTTATGATGCATGCTTTTTTTTATTGAAACCATTTAAAATAATATCATAAACATTGACCTACTACTAAATGGACCTCGGCTCTGCGCTCAAGTGTCCGAGTCAAAAGAGTTCCAAAATGCAAAAAGAGTTCCAATTGCGTTCCAAAATACCGAACTGTATCACAAAACGAACAAAACTATTTATATTTATAATCTATACAAATAAATAAAATTGAAGTCTCTGTTTGTAATGTAAAAATTACAGTTCTTTACTAAATGCATATGAAAGTAAATACGGTAAGTACTTATAACTAAAATACAATTTTTAAAATTTTTGTCTGTCTGTCTGTCTGTTTGTTCCGCGTAATCTCCGAAACGGCTGGACCGATTTTGACGGGAATTTCACCGGCAGATAGCTGATTTCATAAGGAGTTACTTAGGCTACATTTATTTTAGAAAAGTATTTAGGGTTCCGCACAAAAACATAAAAACCCTAACACGCGAGTGAAGTCGCGGCGAACAGCTAGTTTATATATATTTTCGATAAGGACTATTAATATTTAATCATTTAAAAGTAATATTTTGCATAGATTAGTATTTAAATTAAATTCACATTAATTGTAAAAACTAAAAATCATACCGATAATTTTCGCTAGAAGCTGCATAAGATGATAACAGTTTCTGGTTGAAGTTGAAAGGCTGCTAAATTGTCGCAATTAAAATTGTATATATAATACGCTTATATAGGTTGACTCGGGACACATTTTTCGTGTATTTTGTTCTAGGCCCGCCGTCCATTTAGTAGTAGGTCAATGATCATAAATAATAATTTATTTATTCTTTATTGTATTCCTTAATATAAAAGAATACAAAGGGCGGACTTTATGCCTTGAGGCATTCTCTACCAGTCAACCCATGGAGTGGTGAGAATTTGACGTAGGTGTAGCAATATAGAATAAAAACAAAATAAAAAATAAATAAAGACATATATACGTCTGTTAACAATATATTAATTCTTAAGATTAAGATACTTTATGTTTCGTGCAATAAAGAATATCTATATAACTGTCTAACATCCTTGAACACACACAAACACACACAAACACACACAAACACACACACACACACACACAAACACACACACACACACACACACACACACACACACACACACAAAAGGTGTGCGGACTGCGGACAAAGACAGTGCCGATGTAAGAGTAGATCATTCAAAATTGGCGGTTGCTTGAATGGAGTGTCAGGAAGATGACTACAGATTTATAATATAAAGTAATAAAAAGTACTCGATGTTACAAAAACATCGATGTTTCTAACCGATGCATCGAAATATATCGATGCACATTCTCGATGCATCACATCGAAAAAAAACATCGATATATTTTCAAAATGGACACCTCTAGACCAACTTAATAAGTCAAACTCATAGATAGATTAGTGCATAATGTCTTTGTCTCAGAGTAGGTAATTACCATAAACTTAGAACATACTGGCGTATAGACGACCTGACAAGAGATGAAGCGTATATACTAGAACTAGAACAGATCTAGGCACTAGGTATTAAACGAGACTAGGTTGCACCTGTTCCAGCTTTTAAATTACTTGATCCACCTAGTCTCACTGTGCCTAACATAGATAAATATATATCGCTGTTTAAATGCAAAACTACCACATCCCAAAAAGTACTATTTTTACAGGAGAGCCAATTGAAAATTTTCAGACTATATTTTTTGAATTTCTCAATCAAATCACGACCGATTGGCACGCATAATACATCATTACATGCGTATTTGCAACCTTTATGACTTTTAATTAGTTATTTTTCACTAATGTTTAGAAGAAAGCATACAAAAGCAGATAAGTTACTTTTGCATATAAATTATACGTGTAATGACAATGAATTGTATGAAATAAAAGCCACAAGTCTAAAAGAAACCAGCGTTTTGTATATTTATTTTCTTAAATAAGATACATAAGTCGTTTAGTTTATTTGTAAATCAAACTATAGCATCATTTAGGAATAAATAATATTCTAAATATGCAGTCCCGCTTAAAAACAAGTTCCGTTTAATAAATCAAAAGTATAAATTCTCCTTCAAAAACTAAAAATATAAATCTAAAAGCTTTAAACTTTGTGAGATCATTCAGTAACGAGACATCTTTATAATAATTAATCTGTTTATCATAGTCACAGCTTGCTATTTATGAAGAATTACTATGTTATTCACAACCATGAAGATCACAATAGTTATTAATATTAATATAATATTTATAAAAATAATATTAGTTAAATGAAATGTTATAAAAATCAAACAGTCTTAACAATTTGTTATTTTGTTTCTATTTAACTAAAAATACTATGAAAGCTTATAAATAACATAACAATCTTAAAAAACTAGCTACAAAAAATTAAATTAGTAAGTACTGCAAATCTAAAGATTTACATAAAAACTTTCATAATATTTAGGTATTACATTTTTTTCTATTAATTTTATGATACCCTGCTTTTTTGTCTCCAAAACTTTCAGGTTTTGAGTATAAAATTTCTTTAAAGTTGGCACTGTTGCAGTCTTAGTTTTCCTTTTCAATGAGTGTACCATTTTAAAATTTTCATCTTCATAGGGCGTTTTGAATAAAAATGTATCCCTGTTGTCCTTGGCGATTTTCATAATTTTAATATCTGTCCATTTCACTTTCTCTCCGTCGTAACTTGTCGTGTAATTTCCCATAGATAACGGTTTTAAGTCGTAAAATCTTCATACGTTAGTTCTTTTAGATTCTGTTTTGTCATCTTAATGAGTGTTATATACTGGTCTGGTACATAGAAAGGCGATAGGAATTACAAGTAGGTCGTTGTTGTTGTTGACTGATGTTGGATTCAATTAGGTCATAAACAATTGCTGAGCGCTGGAAAATGTTCACCCTCGAAGGTCCAGGTTACGGTAATGAACAATCGTTATATAATAAATACTCTTCATGATCTAAGTTTATATTATCATCTGAGTCAACTGAATAGTTGGGGTCTTTAACGCTATTATCTGATGAAAAATCAGTCCCCGTGTTTGAATGGCTAGCAGTGTC